ATCTACCTGAAGTACCTATATGTATAGTATCAAAAGTATCTGACTTGCGGTTTTCAACAATGGTTCGATAATATTACTTTTTACCAAAAATGACAAAAATATCCATTAAAATAAGAGAATTGAAGATATCATCACGAAATGCATTGTATTGTATTGTATTGTACCGTGCAAGTTTATTGTGAATCTATGTGTGTTTGTAATATTATTTAGCTTTATTTAGCATTCTGTTTAGTTGGTTAACTTTCCTGTATCTTAATGTAGTTTATTTTATTTTTATACGACCATAGAACTCACTGTAGTTTGTTTTAATGTTGAATAAATATTATTATTAAAATCAGTCAATGTACAATGGTGACATATTGCGCGAAATTGTTGCAAGAACATTACTTCTCTCGATTTGCGTGCTGTCGTGCGTTGATGAAAAATGCACGAAATGGTCGGCAGTATCGATCAAGTTCGTCTAGTGTGACCTTCGTGGCTGGCGAAAAGCAAGATGCCGTATAATCTTTTAAATAGGCGTCAAGAAGGATTGAAAGGCTTTAATTTGGTTCCACAATGGGTGTCATGAAATGTTGGAAAATTACAGTCAATCAAAAAAACTATTCACATGACAACAAAAAATACTCACTATATTTAATTTTGTTGGTAATGAAAAGTATAAGTTTAAAATAAAATAAAAACAAACCATTGCTTAGTAGCAAATGATTACGGCACAGTAGCTTACTTGTTTTGAAAGTGTTGCAATTGTTGATTAGTACTCAATAGTGATTATATTAACGTACAAAAAATAAATTCGTTGAATTGTTATGAAATGCAAGTAAAATTCAACTTAGTTTCATTGTAAGCGAATCATTTCAGTTACATGTAAACGCTTGATGCGATACGATATCCGCCATGTTATCCATGCACACGAGTCGTGTTTATTGACCAGATAGGTCAAGTCGCTAATCAACCAATCAAAATGCTGGATGGTGCCCATGTGCTCAAATTACCATAAATCATTTAAATAAGTTAATGACAGTTCAGCGTCCTCATGGTGAAATTTAATCGGCCCGATTTAGAAAAATAATTTAATGTACCGTCTCAAATAAGAATGTACCGGGCAGAATTTTTCGGGGAAAAAAATAAACGTACCGGTACGTTTATTTAGGACATGAGAGTAGCGTATTGTGGGCAAGCTCTCCGAGTAGCGACGTATTTTCAAATTTGACAATGGTGTGATCAGTGGATTACGTAAATAAACCAACACTTTCAATGATTACATGCAGACCCAAATAAATTTGTTGATGGCTGTTTATGAACAGTGAGGATGCATCTCATAGAACAAAAGCTGTGGAAATCATAAACAAATGTAAAAGTTGCGGAAATCAAGCATAGCAATAATGATTTTGAGTGTGGCAGATTCTGGCAAGCATCTCAGAGCAGCATTGCACCGACACCACCACGACGTTTGAATCCTGGAGAGAGCACTATAAACCTCTTAAATCACGAGGTAAACTTTCAGTTTACACAATACATAATCAGTTCCTACAATAATAGAAATGCAGTTTTTCTGGCGAAGCTCTCGCCTGGTTAGCAAGAGTTTCTCACGATCACCAAACCAGAGACACAAACGATAATACAAAGTGTATAAACACCATAATAAGCACTGTTTCTTACCTTTGAAATTGACGAGACAGAATTTTGTCCATATAAGCATTGCGCAAATAAAGATACAATTCCGGGATACAATAACCTCACACAAAAATGACTGTGATTTCCACTTGGACGAGAACTGCGCATACGTCATCAAAGTCGTATTTTCCAGCAATTTTCAAGTAAAAATGTTAAAAATTGAAGAAAAACACAGTGAAACTTTGAATAATCGAAAAAATAACTTGACGTCCCTAATAACACCACAAATTCTGAATCAACTCTGAACTGAATTGGATCACACATGTGTGAGATAAAGCTGGTAATACATGTATGAATGTGCACACACGGAAGCACAGACATGATCCAAATTAATACCCCCTGCCCGGATCACAGATCCGGTTGGGGCTAAAAATGAACAAATCTGAGAATGTTAGATCTACCTGAGGTACCTATATGTATAGTATCAAAAGTATCTGACTTGCAGTTTTCAACAATGGTTCGATAATATTACTTTTTACCAAAAATGACAAAAATATCCATTAAAATTAGAGAATTGAAGATATCATCACGAAATGCACAAATCTGAGAGAGTGCTACCTGTAGTACCTATATATATATAATATCAGAGTCAACAGCAGAGTTAATCAAAGAAAGCTTAGAAAGAACTCCCATGTGCTGAGAGTATTGGAGACACATTAAATATAATTCGAAATTACTTAGCTGAAAACTAATTATGCAAATCAGAAAATTAATATGAACAGAATTGAGTGTAAAACTAATGAGGTCTGCGCAATGTAACAGAAAATCTATGTCTCCAAGTTTAATTGAAATGTGATTAGAACCAAAAAATTATGAATTATTATGCTTATTAGGGAATTAATATGAACAGATTTTTACCCCAAACTAATTACGTTTGTACATTGTCCTAGAGCATCTTTGTACTAAGTTTCATTGAAATGGAATAATTAGTACCGTGAAAACTCCAAAATTTCGACCCCTCTAAAAATTCGAACGCCTATTTATTTGCCGGGTTTCGGTGTTTTATTTACCTCCAAATTTTCGACTCCACTAAAAATTGCCGACTCATTCTTATTCGAAAATTGCGACCAGTTTTAGTTTTCCCCCAAGCGGAAAAAAAACCGATGTGAGCGTTCAAACG